ATATGAGAGAAAATTTTCCCGCTCAATTTCTCCGTTCAATTGTTAACAAGGTTATCTTCTCATACCTAGAAACACTATATATTAGAGCGAAATTCTTTCGCTCGGGTATTAGCAAGCTTATCTTCTTTTACCTAAAACCACTGTATATGGGAGAAAATTCTCCCGAGCAATTGTTAGTCGGTTTATCTGGTAACTAAAAGCAATACACAATTTCAAATGAAAAATTAGCATATAAGCTTTTTTGTATTATATAAGGGCTAGTTTTTTTATTATTGTAGTCATTAAATGTTAGCAAACTTATCTTCTAATACCTAAAAACACTACATATGAGATAGAAAATTCTGTTTTGTGGCTTTAGTTTTTAGCTTGGGAGGAAGCAAGCATGCTAATTTGGCCGATAATAGCTTTGAAACTCTCGCGTGATCATCATTAGTCTTGCTCATTATTGGGCAATCTATTTTATGTCTAATGAGATAGTGAGGTTGCCTATTGGCTATAAGGAGTCCAGAGGAAATGTTTGGGTAGCAAGAATATAGGATGTTTAGTTGTTTAAGTTTTGAATTTAATATAAGCATTTTCCAGCTGGTGTATTTGACATTCCCTATTCAATGCTATGCATGGATCCTTGGTAACTTGTAGTTTGATTAGAGAGACCACAAAAATGAATCAGCTAACGAAAGTTACAATATATCAACGTGTGTATAGATGATGTATCTCCATATTTGTGCAACATAGGTTACATTACCTCGTAACACTAATTATTAAAAAGATATTTGACGTAACAACTAATACCCACGGCGTCTCTAAATAAATTTCTCACTTTTCTTAATTTTTCTTTTTAAATAAAATTTCTTTTTCTTATTTGGTAAATAAATTTATATCAATTTACTTTATTAGCATTCAATAATAACAAAAATATGATGTAAAAATGGTGTTAAACAATGTCAAATAGTACCAAATCACTATGATGAGTCCGTTTGGTACATCCAAATCGACTGTATTGTCTAATCCTGCAAAAAATTATACAAATGTATGAAGTGGATGGATTAGCTGATTCTATTAATTTATGAAAAAATTATATTCAAAATATATTTGATTAATAAAATAAAGGAAAAAATATACTTACCACATATGAAAAAGCAATTAAAATGAGTTTCTATAGTAACTTCCATTAATGTAGTCAAAAAGTACCTTCAATCTTACTCTTTTTGAAACAATGACACAAATGTCACCTATAAAGTTTTAATAAACAAAAAATGTCTTTTTTTTTAAGTTTACAAAAAAGTGGCCCGTTTCTCTCCCTCAATCCAGATCTACGCAGCTTGCAGGTCTGCGCCACCCGTCTCCCTCGCACAAACCTACAGATCTTTCATCTTCTTCCTTCCTCCAAGCCATCCAACCTCTGGCCAACACACAATACCTCTGCCGTTAGGGGTGTGCACTATCCGGTTTCAACCGGAAAACCGGACCAGAAAAACCGGAACCAGATCGAACCGGAATTATATCCGATCCGATTTTCAGTTATGAAAATCTAGGAAACCGGTTTCCGATCCTGTTCTGGTTTAAAACCGGATTTAACCGGTTTTGCTATATTTTTGAAAATATATTTACTAATACTAATATAATAATAGTTATAGAAAAAATAATACTCCATACAAATAACAATATATAATAGCAATCAATTTCATAATGATTATAATATATATTATCCTAATATTATATTTATCCAATCATTTTTATTCTCGTAATAATAAAACTAACTAATATATACGTAATATAATTCTAGTATCAAGTTACTCCAATATTTGTTCACTAAAATTAATTAAAATGAGTTTAGAAAACAATAATAATAAAAGTAATATTTTTAATAATAAGTACTTCATCTTTATCAAATGATTAGTAGCTTTTGTAGTAAAGAAAAAAATTATTTATTTAGAAACCGGTTTTTCCGGTCCGGTTCTAGATAAAAACCGAAATACATCTAGTCCGATTTTCGATTTCCATATCATGTCAAATCCGGTTCTGGTCCGGTTCGGTCTGATCCGGTTTTGAACCTGTGCACAGACTGCACACTCCTATCTGCAGCCACAACCACCATTGCAGCAACGGACCAAGTATTTTCTCCTTCTCTAGCTGAATCAAAACTAGGAGCAAGCTTGAACACAGATTCACGGATGAGCTTCTAATTTGGCAGTAATGGCCACGAGCTTAGCTGAGAAACTCTAACTTCTATCTTTGAGCTTCAACTATGCGACTGGAAAAATCAGGTGGTCGATGATGAGTTTCGTGGCCGGGTCAAATCTGTCGTCCACCTTGGGACTGAACAAATCCGCCGCAGATCTGAATTTTTTGGCTTAGGGAGACAGGGGTTAGATCAACTGGGGAGGGGCTGGGAAGAAGGCCGGACCAGGAAGGTGAGGGGGACTATGAAAGGTGCTGGTAGGGTGGTGGTCGGGTTGGGACAGGAGAGGGATTGCACCGGGGCTGGACTGTGGTTTGTGAGGGAGGCCGGGGATGGCAGTGGCAATGCTGCGGCCATTGTGGTCAAATGGCGGTGGTGGCAGTAACCGGAAGAGGCAGGGCGGAGTTCACTGGATGAGGCGTGGCTGGTGTCACTGTAGCAGGCGGTAGTGACGTCATTGTGGCGGTGTCGACGTCACTGTGGCAGAGGGGAAAACCCCCTTTTTCTCATCATTACTCGATTCAACTTGCGATTTTTTTTTTCGATTTGCGAAAACGGGTTACCAAACCGCTGTATATTTTACTTGCGCCAATCAACTAGTTAGGACTCAACTACATTAACCGCCAATGTGCTCTAAATCTCCGGAAGCAGAGCTTCAATGGAGTCCTCAAGAAAATTCAGTAACCCCATCTCCAAAGCATCTGCAACACACAGTCTCTTCATATCGATTCTCATCGCAGCGGCTATCTTTCTCTTCAATTTCTCCGACTCAAACCACACCGCCTCCATCAACACACTTCTTGTTTCTCGCCTTCACTCTGCTTCAACTTACTTCTCATCTTCCGTTCTCACCTCCGACACTCGTTTTCTTCAAGACGAAGAATTGAAGGGGGAAGACGGAATCGGTTCTTGTGATCTCTTTGACGGGCGTTGGGCTGAAGATGAGTCCGACCCACTTTACAGACCGGGTTCTTGCCCATTCATTGATGATTCCTTTAACTGCTTCAAGAACGGCCGACCCGACTCGGACTACACTAGGCTCAGGTGGAAACCCCGGAGCTGTGAAATCCCAAGGTTGTAACTTTTTTCCTGAACTGATTTAATTTAATCACTGGGCATCTTTGATTTACAGTTTTGTCAACCCCAGGTTTGATGGGTTAAAGATGCTGAAGATATTGAGCGGGAAAAGTGTAGTCTTTGTGGGTGATTCTTTGAACAGAAACATGTGGGAATCCTTGATCTGCTCTTTAAGAGAATCAATGGTGGATAAGAACAGCATGTTTGAGTTCAAGACTGAAGGATACCATTCTTTCAAATTCAAGGTCAGTGTGATCAGTAGTTATACATATGTGGTTTCTTTTGAATTCAATGTCAGACCAAACTGATGAATGATTATGGGAATTTTGAAGGATTTCAGGTGCTCTATTGAGTTCCTCAAATCCCCATTCCTTGTTCAACAGTGGCAGTTCTTAGATAATGCTGGGGTGCAGAGAGAAACTCTGAGATTAGACAAAATTCAAGAATCCCTTGGAGAGCACTGTGATGCTGATATTATCATATTCAACACAGGGCACTGGTGGACCCACCAAAATACCAACCAAGGGTGATTGATTAATTTAACTCTTTTTATTTATCATCAACGAAAATATGTATGCTAACTCCCTGAGTTTATTATCATTGTTATTAGGGATATGCTTATAGCCTATAGCTGATCTACAGATCTACCCATTCTACCCATTATATGAAAATATCATTTTTAAAATTTAGTACTCCCTCCATCCCTATATTATCTCCTCGTTTGACCCGGCACACAAATTAAGATAGTGAATTTTGTTTGGTGGAGAGTTGTGAAGAGGATACAGAAATTGTAAGAATTGTTGTGAATCACAAAATCTTTGCCAGAAAAAGAAAGGGGAAAAAGGAAAGTTTGAAGATAATACGGTAACATCATTATCATGATCATCAATTCATCATCATAAAAAGTTAAAAACAGTTCTACCCATTCTACAAAAAATATCAATTTTTAACATTTAGTGCAAATATATTACTGATACTGCTTTTGGCAACTGTATTGGTAACATCATCATCATGATCACTATTATGATTATTATTATTATATACTGTACTATATACTACTCCGTATTATAACTATCATCATCACTATCTAATGATGCATCATGCATGTGATAGGAAGAACTACTTTCAGGAAGGCAGCCACGTTTTCAAGAGCATGAAAGTGGCAGATGCTTATGCAAAAGCATTGAAGACATGGGCAAAATGGGTTGATGCAAATATCAACAGCAATAATACCGAAGTGTTCTTTCGTGGATATTCTGCTTCTCATTTCAAGTACGCGTGTTAACAACCTTTTCTTCACAATTCTTAAATTGCTAAAAAGTCAATCTTTTGGATAGAGTTTAGAATAAAGTAAATTCTTTAAAAAGTTAAAATTTGTCTGGAATTGAAAATGGGTCACTGTGTGCAGTAAATTCAAAACTAATGCCCAGATTCACAATTTTTAAAGAATTGACTAGAGTCCAAGATAATTGCAAATATTTGACTCTCTATACTTCTAAAACTTCTAAAAAGTCAATATTTTGGGCTGATTCTCGTTTTTTTGTCAATTCTTTAAGGAATTGACAATTTATAAAGAATCTTTAAAATAATAATGCTTAATTACATTTTCAAAGATTCACTAGATTCAAAAATCAATGCAAAAAGTTGGCTTTTTGCATTAGTTTGGCCTCATTTTACTGTTGTGTATAAAAAGAGTATATGGCGTGTTTGGATGATGAGCAGAGGGGGGCAATGGAACTCAGGAGGGAGCTGCGATGGAGAGACAATGCCAATAAGGAATGAAACTCAGCTGGGTCCATACCCATGGATGATGAGAGTGGTGGAGTCTGTCATTTCTGGAATGAAGACGCCTGTGATTTATCTCAATATCTCAAGAATGACGGATTATAGAAAAGATGGGCATCCGTCCATCTTCCGGCGGCGGTCAGGGAGGAAGGCCGGCCGCCGGCAGGACTGCAGCCACTGGTGCCTCCCCGGTGTGCCGGACTCTTGGAATGAATTGCTCTATGCAACCCTCCTCCTTCGTCACCCACCCTAATCTGATTTCTTAATTTTCTTCTTCAATTATTATTATTCCAATAGTAGGTTTTTATCAGGAGTTAGGAATTTTATATTCTGGTTGGTGGCTCTATTGTAGGATTTGTAGAAATGTGTAATGCTCCCGGGCAAATTCACTAAATTGAGGATGTTATCTACTCACTTTTTTTTATCATAAAAGATATATTAAAATCAAGAACACATACAAGACGATATTCAGACATAAATTACAAATCCAATCGTGAACCCTAGGAGTAGACTTAGAGTCAGCCACCTCATACAAAGCAACATGACTCGCTAAACCTGAAACGGGCAAATTTAGGCCTAAAACGAATGAAAGAATTCTGCCTATCAAAAGAATTCCAACCAAATCTACTCGGACTGAAAGGAAAACAATTGCAAGTAAAGAGAGAATAATACTGAAATAAAATCTTTCCACAAAGCATTCCCTGATATGGAGGTGGTTCCGGAGGAGGATGAACTCTTGCAATATGGGTGAATAGCCAACTCCACCACCGCTGGAATGGTTGACCAAGGCTTTACGATCCAGTCTCGATACAACCTCTCAGCCGCACTTCATTCATCCGCCAACGCTATCTCCTTTGACGTAGTTGCAATCCCAAGCGTTAGAACACTTAAAATCAGTATAATTTGTCGCTCCAACACCATATTGATAGGGGCGGCGGAAAATCTCAACCCCTGCAAAGCGGGAAGACGGCCATTGGGGTTTCTCTCTAGATGTTATCTACTCACTTAAAGAACCCTATCACATGTTATTGAAATAGCCATTCATTTTTTTAATACGAAATAGTCATTCATGGAAAAGTGACATCGATGATCTTTTATGAAGTATAAATTATTATTTTTCAAAATTAGAGATCAAGAATATAACGAGACTTCTAATATGAGTAATGAGTTCAATGAATTGAAGAGTCTTATTTTGAATGACATTCCATACACAAGATGTATTCATTAAGTCTTTTTGCAATTGAAATTAGTTATTATGATTGTTTCACAAAAAGAAGTTTGGAAATATTTTGATTGAACATTTATCCATGATTACTAAAATATTGGAATATTCTTATAAAAGAAAGGAGGAGTTTTGGCAAAAAAATCATGAGAGAGGTGTTAGAAAAAAATGTACTTACAATCCGAAGATGATTTAGTCAAGAAAGTAATTTCGCCCGGCTAAGAGGTACTTGTTAGGGTTCATGTTTTACAACCATTGTTCCTATGCTTTGTATGTGGATTCCTACAATGCAAGTTTAAGTGATTTAAATCAACAGACATGGCTCTTCATGAGTTGAGACTAGACATATAGTACATAGATATATATCGTTTGAGTTTTGCATTGAATGACCTATTTTATTTTAAAAATTTGTAACACGTGTGGGCCAGACAGAATAGATTAGTCTCGCACCTATCCGATCCATTTCCATCCATGCAGCTGTGCCCCGTTTGAGAAAAGTTTTACTCCGTAGATTTAATTTGTCGTTGCATAAACTTCAATCACACAAAGTTTTTACTTTATTCTTTGTGCTGATCAAATTTGATCAAGTTTTAAGGATAGTGAAAGTAGTATATATACTTTACAGATATTGCCTAATTCACTTACATATTCAATCATAATACTCCATATTAACATAAATGATTTTTTTGTCTATTTGAATTTTGAACTACTCCCTCCGTATTTGAAAGTCTTCTACAATTCATATGGGCGCACCATTTAAAGGTGAAATATTAGGGTAATGAATAGTGTAGAAAAAGTATGAGAGAAAGTGAATAAATATAAAAGAGAAGATAAAAAATAGAAAAAATCAGAGTAATTGAGTATATTTTTAAAGTAAAAACTTAGACCTGATGTAATTGAATTATTTAAATCTAAATTAAAAATGATGTAATGATTTGAACCAATCAAATGAGTGTTAGATACAACATCACATTTTTTGGGCACTAAAATTGTCACCATTTTTGTTTATGAGAAAGGGATCAAAATGGCAGATGCCAAAGCAAGAGATTGGCGCCTCCTTCCAACAAAACAGAATCTAAAAAAAAAATCTTAGCTGAAACGGATCTGGATCCCGCTGAAACACCGGAAAAATTAACCGTCGATCTAGGAGACCCCTGAAAATAAACCGGCCGTCAGCTTCAACATCGAATTTCACATCGCAAATACTATCGGATCGCAGATACTCTACCCGGCAGGTTCCCTACATTTGCATTACATTTGTGTCACTATAGTACTTCTGTACTTGTTCTCTTATTTGAGCTAGCATACCAAGATCTGTAGCTGCGCTTATAAAATTAGCCAGTTTTTGTTTATTACGGAGTATTATCTTCTACTGCTCTGATTTGTTCTGTAAATTCTTCCCCAAAAGCTACCGCCTACCTGGAGAAGAATATAATTGATTCGCATATCATTCTGTTTAGGTATTCCAGGTAGATGTATATAATGGCCGAATCTGCGAATTTATCTGAATGATAACTGTTTGGTAGAATTTATTTCAGCCGAATAAGAATGTCAAAAGGTACTGATTTTGCTGATTGTAACCGCGAACAGAATAAGCCAGATAGGACTACCAAAGGGAGCCTTAAAATTATCTCATTACCAAGTATTGCCTCTGATGATGAATAAAATAAGTACACATAACCTTTTGGGATCGAACAAGGTTATATGACACCAATCCGAAAAGCAAGCATTTATTTATTTATGAGAGAATCCAGTGACAAAACTTGCATCAAAAGCTCTGAGATATGGAATATCTGGCCTTTAAGCAACCTTTCTTGCAAGCTATTCTAATCCTGCCATGTTTTCTTGCAATTTTCGTTCTTCTTCTTTTCCCCTCTCCTTTTGTCTATCTTCTGAACTTCATACATACCTTCATCTATTCTGCTACCTTTGCTTTTACATCAATGGCAGTGACTCATGCCGATCTTGCTCCCAGTCCTCCTAAAACTGACCTGGGCAGCAAAACAGGCCTTTTCGTAGTCATTCTCTCCATACTTTTAGGGCTGCTTTGCTTCATTCTCTCCCTCATTGCGGAAGCCACCCGTTCTGAGGCACTGTGGATGGGGACCAAGTGCACATTTAGCGGGAATGGAAAGACTCCTCTAATGAGCGTGGCTGGTGCTTTCTTCTCCCTGGCACTAGCCATGCTGTTACAACATACTTATCTGTTGATAGCTGTGAGTAAATTTTCAGAGCCGTCATTAGCTAACTGGGACCCGCATTCTGATTTTTTCAAACGTCTCACCTGGCAAGCTGGTTTTTTCTTCGTTTCGATGTGGTATGAGTCCCAGTAACTTTTAAAAGTCCTCGTCTACCTCAATTTACCAGGTGCTCATTGATGGACACCTTTTTGCTTAAACTCCACAGGATTAAAACCCGACTAAGCGTTAGACGCCATTGACCAGCGTATGACCTAGCAGGCGCCAAGCGCACCTAAGAGCAGGGATAGTCCAATGACTTATGTGATGAAATTATGATGAAGTTGTCTTGATATTTTTTATGTTCCATCAAATTTGTGAAATTTCCATATTTTGAGGTTCTCACATCAATGTGATGATAACGAAATTTCTCTAGAATCTCGTAGAGAAGTCTGCAACTCTGCTGTCTCTGCAAATATTAAGAAATTTAGAAAAAATACCTGAAGCATTTTGATAACTACATTCAAGCATCGAAAACTTACTAAACTTGGTTTCTTTCCAGGAATATTTTGATATAAATATTGATATCAAAATATTACCATTTATTTTAAAATTCAAAGTACAGATATTTCCATAAACACCACCAATATTTAATCCTTATGTGATATACTAAAAAAGAATCATATTTATACTAATCATTTACTACGTATATTTTTAAAACTACCAACAACCAAAAAACGCAAAACCGCTATTTCTGTTTTGGCTTTACTAAATAAGGAGCCTGAAAACAATATTAAAAATGCTCTTATATGTTGATATGTTTTTCATAAATGCTGGATGTGTAAAGTGTTAGCATTTTATATGTGTTCTTTGTGATGATAGGAGTTCATTTGGGGTTGGTGAGATATTGCTGCTAATAGGACTAAGTGTAGAATCTGGTCACCTAGAAAAGTGGAGAGAACCAAGGCCAAGCTGTATAGTAATTGGACAGGGAGTGTTCTCAGCTGCAGGAGTTTTTGGTCTTTTAACTGTCTTCATGGCTGCCGGTCTGTACATCTCAGTTTTGCGCTGGCAGAGGTTTTTGCAAGCCCAAGAAAACATCAATCGGAATGTTATCGAGGCATCGGTCCTCTATGCATCGCCACCAAGGTCGCCACGGCAAATATTAAGACCGGTTGCAGATGAGAGCCACATTGCAAGACATGATAGAAATGATCATCTTTTGTTGGGACAATATATGACAGAGGTTGAAAAGTACTTGCATCTTGTTTGATTGAAGAGAAGTGGAAGAGAACATGCCAATAGAAATAGGGATTGCATATAATATGGAAATGTAAATGATGAAGAGATTGTTGTATACTTGTGAATTCTAAATCACCTCACGTCTTTTTAATTTATCAATGTATCTTTATAGTACTTCATTCGAAAAGAAGTACATCATGTTTGGTTATGTAAATTTTAGCTAAATATAGCTTTAATCACAGAAAAATCATGTACCACCCAAAGCTTTCTATGTTGCACTGATATAGCCTCTATATTTGCAGCCTCGCTTTCATATACGTAGTATTAAAAATCCAAAGAGAACATTTGATATTAGGGAGTGATTTTATTCAAGTACTAACGAAAAAATCAAAAAGCGGACGACCGCACCCTAGAGCTCTCTAGGGTTTGCGTGGAGTTTGGACAGTTTATCGCGGAAGGTACAGAGCAGTAGGTCAGTAGCAATCGATGAGGGTACGAAGCAGGCTTGTCGGCGAGACGACGTCACGACGAGGGTAGCGAGAAGCACAGTTGTTGCGGCGCTACTCGTAGCGGAGGTCTGCGAAGGAACAAACAAGCGACGCTAGAGAAGGGCAATCGGAGGCAGTAGCAATCACAATTGGTTTCGGCCGAATCGATACCTCAGTTGACAACAACATGCAAGGCGTGGCGATGAAAAGCAACCAAAGGGAGGCGATGGAGATTTTGACTCATGCTTATGGAAGGATGGAGACGAAGGAACATGATGAGTCAAGGACAATCCGTGGGACTATGATCGGTTGGACTTGAAGCCAGAGGGTGAAAGGTTATTGGTTCGTCCCCCTCCAGAGCCGAAGCCAGAGAAGGAACGAACGACAAGGGTTTGGAGGCTTATTTTTATTAGTACTTTTGCTTGTTCCGTTTGTTATTTCAATATTCAGGACGTACGGAATAATTCTTGCCTTATGGACATTAGTCGTAGGTTCTTTGTTTATTTTTTCATTATTCAAATTAGGTTTGTGGGTGGAAGCGATAAGACTTGTATGACCGGTAAAAGCTTCGAAACTCTCACATGGTTAGCGAATAGTCTCGCTCTTTTTAGGGTGGTATATTCTATATCTAGTCAGAGAGTGGGAGAGCCGTTTGACTATGCGAAGCCATATAAGGAGGTTTGACGTTTCTTGATTGTGGGGTTGTTGTTATCATTGATTGATATAATATAATTAGCTTCCTTTCAAAAAAACGACAAAATCAAGACTTTAAAAATTAAAATATCATCATACTCATACCAAATTTCAAAATAATTGATTCCCCCAAAATATGAAAGTAGCCAAAAGAAAAAAAAGTATCACGAGTAACTATTTTACGAGTACTATAAAGAAAGTACAAATGTTGGGGTTTTCCCCTTAATATTACTAAAGGGGTGTTTGGATCCGATTCTTAAAACTTTTTCTGCTCTTTCAGGGAGCAGAAGCAGAAGTTGGAGTGTTTGGGTGAAAATGCAGAAGTGATTCTGGTGCTCTAATTTACTCCTAGAATCAGTTTTTTTAGAAGCTGGGGGATACCAACTTCTGAAAACTGATTCTGATTCTGGTTCTGCTTTAAAAAAGAAGCAGAAGCAGAATCAGTTCCAAACACCCCCTACATTAAACTAAATTTCAAAAAATGTTAAGACTTTTAAATATTGACAAAAAAGTGATCAACAAAGTCATATATTTGGAATTGAAAACACGATGTCACTGCAAAAATTATGTGATTGTGTTCATTTTTCATGTAATTGAGAATGGTTACTATCAATATTTTCAAGCCAATTACACTACCAAACGCCACTGCCACCGCCCATGTGACACCACCAAAGTGACTCCGCCAAAGTGACGTCGCCACGACAACACTACAGTGACGCCGCAACCACTCAGTGACACACGACGCCGCCGGCACCGCCAATCACAGCCGCCAACCACTTCGTCCAGCGCCCAAACCGCCTACTGCCCCATCCCCACACCCCTGCTCAGATTCTGACCTGCCCCCTGACCAACCTCAGCCCCCTGCCCAGACCCCCAACCATAGTCTCCTCCCCTGCTCAAGCACCCTACCCCAGCCCCCTCCCCTGCTCCCCCACACCTACCCAGCCCCCTCCCCTGCTCCCCCACACCTACCCAGCCCCATCCCCACCCATAGCCTACCTGCCTCAGCGCCACCCAGCCCTGCCACTACCTGAGCCGCCCCAGCGCCGCCCAGCGCTGCCATCACGTGACTCGCTATATCGCCGTCCAGCTCAGCTGCAACTCGCCCTAGCATCTGTCCCCAACCCTAGCTCCTACCTGCATCCCACCACAGCGTCGTAATCCTAACCCTCAATGAATCACCTCCACGTCATTGCCCTAAATTCAAAGTCGCGATGCCGCTGCCGCCCTCAAATTGAACCGTAATAGTCAGATCTGACACTATAGCTTGGTTTCGACGGAGATTTGGGCTGCGACGTGGCATCGTGTGAAGAACATCGATGGCGGCAAAGCCCGTTGGACTGCCATCCGCCTCCCCACTCGACAGAAAAAGATGAAATAGAAAATCCGCCGGTGTAGAATAGGAGAGGGCGACGAGGTTGAAGATGAAGGTGAGGTCAACGGCAACTTAACGAATTCGGCGATGCAGCTGAAGAGATGCGGCAGATTGTCGAGCTTGAAGCCAAGAGAAGCAGTGCAGAGAAGCTAAATGGACGGGACGGCCAGGGATAGGAATTTTTTAAATTATTTTGAGTCACTTTTTTGTCTTAATTGAAACCAGTCATATTTTTGTCAACTAATGGAATTTATCTATATGCACCTTGAACTTTTTCAATGAGATTATTTACTACTTCCACATATCTAGAATATTAAATATTATTTTTGTATAGAAAGTTAATTTTTTTTTATAGAAAGAATGAACCAAGTATAACATCTAATTTTCACCGTAAAAAAGCATGGTTCTAAAAAATGGTTAGATTATGATTTACTTACTTCAAACCATCACTTTATCTTCATAATTTATCCTTTGTTGGATAACTTGTTAATAAATTGCATGAAATAGTCATTTTGAGGCAATTTTTTTAGTGGGGTCCACTTCCGAAAATTTGGGTCGGATCAAAGTGGTTTCGGATTGCCCTTGCTAAGGGCTACAATTCGATATGTGGTACACTCAAAACGGATAACGGGTAAATGAGAAATTGATTCTCGAAATTCGCTCATTGAAATGGAGAAAACTAAGAAAATGATAGGTTTCTAGTGTGTTTTATCCCACACCGGAAAATCCAAGGGATTTTTATCCCCTTATAAAGGGAACCCCATTTAAAGGAGTTAAGATTCATAGGTGGAAAGACTCTTTTTGCGCGCAAGAGGGTGCCAATCAAATCCAAAAAATGGAGAAAAAAACAGCGACTTGCGTGCTCGAGGAGACCTGCGGACATGAATGTCATCCCAAAATCGATCTTCCTATTTTTTGCTCCAGGTCCAGCCCGTTGGAGCAGGCTGCTGCTCCCATGTTGAACGACCGCAACAGGCTGCTGCTCGACCCTGCTGCTGGCGTTCCTTTGCAATTAAATGGACAATTTTCTGGACAAATCAATGTCCAACATGTTGACATTGATTACTAACATTAATGTCCATTAAACAGCCATTAATACACAATTAATCTTCCCTATAAAAGGCTGGCAGGTGGTTTTCTCTAGCTCAAAACCCTCCAGCTTTCTCTGAAAAATTCTTTCGTGTTCATATTTGTTCTCGTTCGCCGGAACAATTCGTTTGAGTGCTCAAACAATTGTTCGTAGTCATCGTATCATGGGAAATGATCGTTGCAACGCTCCTAGCACCCCAGGAGGCAAGAATACGTTTTAAGGATATCGTGCGAAGCATGAGCTTTAGTTAAATTTTGCTTCATCCACGTTCCGTTTTTCTTTAGTCATTTTATTTAATTAATTTTTATTAATTTTTTTTGTTTTTCGAAACAACCCCTACATCCTCTTCATAGCAATCTCTCAATTATCACTACAATGAATGTCGATTGCAAACAATTTTCTTGAAAAGTGGCTAGAGAAACATCGGTTAGATATGACATCTACCTTTATACTAGGTATGTCAATGGGTCGGGGTGGGGATGGTACTGCAAGACCCAGACTTTTTGACGCATGACCCGTCGTATGCAGGGCGGGTCCGCCCCGACGTAACCTAAATAGTTAGTATGTATTTTTATTCGTGACAAGTTGTTACCAATTGAATCTACATAAAGTTTATCTCTACATAATAATTAAAAATTAATATATTAAATCAAACTCATGATACCCTAAAAATTTCAAAAATTAAGGAAAAATTGCTCAGACTTGAATAGTTAATCTATTAAATTATACTCCCTCCGTCCCTAAATGTTTGTCACACTTTGACTTCACAAGTTTTAAGGAGATGAATTTGACTTTACACTGTAGCGACACTGTTTCACACTGTAGCGGCACTGTTTGGCACTGTTTTGCACTGTTTGACACTGTTTGGTATAGATTTGTTTACCAAATAAGGAAGTTTAAAAAGTATGACAAGCATTTTGGGACATCCGTTTCGGGAAAGTGTGACAAACATTTAGGGACGGAGGGAGTACTAATAATTGAACATATGTATGAAAATACTACATATAAAGAAGACATTGATAATCCGTCGTTCATCTCATTCTAATATATGTATTAATACCAGTATATTATAAGATCAAAAAATTTATTATTTACTGTATACACACATATGTATGTTGAAGTATATTTGTAGTATAATTTAAGAAAAAATATGTATGTTTATGTATTGAGCGGGTCAGATCGGGGCAGGTCAGGGCAGCACTGATCAATAATAATACCCGGACCCGCCCCATTGTATAGGCGGGGTGGAGCGGACCCGTCCCATTTGTAAGACGGGTCGGACCGGACCTACCCCAAATGTCTTGTGACAGCGCGGGTCACTGCGGGTCTGTTTTTTTGACATCCCTACTTATACCAAACAAAGTCCTAAAGTTCATCCAAAAAACAAAGTCGAAAAAGAGGTGGGTTTTCCACCCAAAAATATGGGTAACAATTACAAAAAGTCTATTGTTACACACTTTCTATACACACACATACACACTATAAATACCCCCAAAAATAATTTACCCCCCTTTCCCTCAACCAATTTCAAAACACTTCAAAAAAACACCCGCTCCAAATTTTTCCCGCATCCCCACCTTCTCTGTTGCTTCCCCTCTCCTTTGCTCTGTTTCTTCCGATTAATCCCCCGACGAAGACCAGCTTTCTCCCCTGTAACCCCCCCGACGAA